GAGAGAATATTACAAAAAACTGAAATAGATTTTTATTTTTTTTTTTTTTTTTTTTTTTTTTTTGATGAATTAGCTTTAGTCTACATAATCATGGGGGAAGACTGCTGACTTGGCAGGCTTTCTGCAGACAGTCACTTAGACAATCCACAAGCATGTAATTCCCAAGAACTCTAAACTATGCACAGTGCTTTATATTCAGACCTATTCATGGAAAATTGAGTGGAAGGATAAACTGGTATTTAAAGAAAGAGATGAATACATATTGACAAAAAGCTTGATATCCACTTATAAAAAGATGAATACAGAGATGGAATGAAATATTTAAAAAAAATGTGGCTACTGCATCAGCATGGCATGAAGGTCGATAGCCAGTGAAATTGCTGGTAAAGCCTAAATTTCTTTATGGGCTATTTTATGTTTTTTAGGTAATATTTATTCTTGGTTCTTGTGTTTCTCATTCTACAGATAATTTCAGAGCACAAACATAGACATTCCTCTTTATAAAACACTCTTTGTATAACACAGAAGACATATCTCCTTTAATTATCACTGATTGTTAAGCAACTTTGATGCTTTGGAAAAAGTTTCTTTTTCTTCGTCCTGGTCATCACACAATGTTTCTGTATGAAGCTTATGCTAAAAGTACTTTTATTTTCCTGTAAGCCATATAAGTCAAAATTAACAGTGTTTTGCTTTTTGAACTGAACAACTAAGATGGGGAAAAACATTTGGTGATATTGTATCCTCTTGATGTACCTGAATTCACAAAAAAGAGGAAGGATTTCTTTTTATCTGCTGTTCCTCTGGGAGTTACAGGACTCTGACCTTTAGGAATATCTAAACCTTTTAATGAATCTTTGTTGGGACATTTTTTAATTTTTTTATCTATTAGAAAAAGAAAACAAACAACAAAGATTAGATTTGGAAGGGCAGCTTTTTGGGTTAATAAGTAGCCTGAATGAGCTAAAGCAATGATATCAAACACTGTTGTTTCTACCAGCTGTCGTTGTGCCACAAAACGGATTAGTATTGGCACTAATTGTCAGTCAGACACAAAGCTGACAAATCCTTACGCAATGGTGGCCTAACCCCTGGGATTACAGTCTGGGTAATGTATGGAAAAGCTGCTCAAACAGAGTAGTCACTGGGTGTGATCTTTAGAAATGTAGTTACATGAATTTGATATTAATGAACATATGTTGTCTCAAGGCACTTTAATAGACAAAGGGATCCAGTTCTTATCCGTTTATTATAGAAAAAGTCTTAATTCACTTTATATCAGCATAAAACAATTCAGTTTTGAGACCCACCCCCTCATCTGAAGTTGACCCAACACGCTGTGTGGTTTCCTCACTTGTCGTATCTCGCTTTTGCAGCGTGACCGCAAGATGTCTCTGAAAAACCAAAGCGGCCATGCTTGAAAAGTTTTTTGTTGACCACAAAGGAAGGACGGAGCAACATCTGCTCATCCGTGGCAGCAGCATCACTGCCGTTCAGGACGGATGCTAGCAAGAGATGCAAAAAAAAACTTGGTGTGTCAGTCAGACAGTTGGCTTTCTTTACTTTTTTTTTTTTTTGCATTTGGTGTTAAGTTTAGATGTTCCGTAGCCGTCTGGTTGGTGATTAGACTTCTCAGTTGTCATGGTGACTGCTGCCTCAGCCCAGATTAAGTTATCGGATACCAGAAGTGCAGAAACTCCTACTGACTAAAGATAAATGTGGGGTCACTAATGGAGATGCCTTCAAGTTTTACATTAGTACTGAAGAACGACCATTCCTAAAACTGGATTTGGCCGTTTGAAAGGTGCAGTTCTGGGGGCGGTAATGGGTGCGGTGTTTGCAAAGCATGGCAGGAGATCCACAGGTAAGCTATATAATAATACCAGGGTTTAACTAAACTTCTAAAATAAGCTTCCTTTACTGGGGACAGAATAAAAAAAAAACAAAAAAAACAACAACACTTTTTTTAAAAGATTATATCCTCTGATGAAACCATCACTGATTGGTCCCTTAAATCAATTTGATTCATTAACAACTAATTTAAAACCAAGCTGTAATTTGAGAAAGTTTTTGGGAAATAACATATTGTTTCATTACCGTTTTCAAATTATCAAATAATTATATATATATATATATATATATATATATATATATATATATATATATATATATATATATATATATATATGCACACCTAAAAACCCAGTCTTTTCTTTCTGATTGGTAAATTAATCTAAATTTTTGACACTGTTTTTCCTCTTATATGCAATAGAGGGATGTNTTTCTGATTGGTAAATTAATCTAAATTTTTGACACTGTTTTTCCTCTTATATGCAATAGAGGGATGTATATTAATAATATATGGATCTCTAGCTATCAAGCTGTTTTTTTCAACAAAGAAAAAGCAGTCTCCTCCCTCCTTTTTTTTTTTAAATTATTTTTATTATTATGTTTTCCAAGGCTGCTGGGCTGAGTTAGGCCTTTATAGTTGTCTATTCAACATATGCAGCTAAAGAATCTTTATAATTATGTTCTAAGCCTCACCCATTTGAGTAGTCCATTCAGATTTATGGGGCAAAAAGAATGAAATCATTTCCCAAAGCGAGAGAGAGATTATTACGTACATTTTTTTTTTCTCTCTAACTGAATATAGTGTTGGTGTTTATGGTGGGCGGATGATAAACCATCTGTAAAAGCCATCGGTTGTGAGAGCTCTGTTGCTTTCTGTGTGTGCATCTTCAGGTCATTCAGATGCTTGAGCTGTTTCTGCTTCCATACTGTGGCGGCAGCCATCTTGCAGACCCTTCCTGATGTTCGGTTCCATTATGCCACCAGATAAAGACAAAAGAAGTCTGTGACTGCTGTGGATGTTTTTGGAGAGGCTTTTCCCCCAGAAGCTCTCTCCTGTTTGGGTTTTGTCGTCTCTAGGTGATAAGCACTAGTAATGGAAATCATAAGCTGAATACAAGCACCACCTGTGGCATGTTTTTGCTTGGTCTTGTGATGTTGATGCTGTTTCACTACCCTCTAACTGCAACAGCAACAGACCTCCAATCTTTCTTTTTCAGATTTGTTTGCTTCCTACAGTGACCTTCAGGGCATCATACGACACATCTCGTGTCCTTTTTATTTATGTTTTCAATGCCATAATTGCTCTACCCGACATGGCCTCACGTGTAACCGATCTCCATAGTATTGAGATCTTCTGCCACCGTTATATAGATTTACTTCCAAGGGGGCCTGATCAGCACTTTTAGTGTAATCATGAAGCAACATTAATACAAGGAGGGTTGTTTTGATAACCGCAAGGTCAACTATTCCTGGCCGGCCCCTGAGGAGTCAATTACACAACTCCTCTGTGGGCTCCAGAGTGGGACGCTTTTAAGGAAACTTGCACGTACCAAAAGAGGTGGAGTTCCACTAAATGTGGCTTGCTGGTGGAGGCCATGTGGAAGTGAAAACACATGACGGCAGAGAGGAGACAAAGTGTGTTCTGGGAATGCGTCCTCAGAAAGACTTGAATCTCCATTACCTTCCACATATGTAGATGTAGAACAGGATGCACGTGTCGGAGCTGCAGAAACAGAATCCATGTGTGTGAAAGAAGGTTTGGATGTTTCATGATTAAATATTTATCTGTGGGTATGAAAGGCCAAACTAAGAGGTTAAACGTCTAAAAAGGGGCTTTGAGCTTAGTTTTGTTTCTGTTGGTATTGTAAGGTTTGGTGCAGTGACTCTTTTAGGATATGGGGAATATTTTGACGATAATGCAGTTTTTAAGCAGCCTGGAGTTTTATTTTTCTTTACAGATCCACCCATGTTGCATCATTCTGTCTGTTTTTTAAATATTTTTTTTTAGATTTCTGTCTTTCTGTTCTTTTATCCTTTTGCAATAGTGTATTTTAGTTTCCAATAAATATTTAAATACTATTTCTGCTTTAAATTCATTCTAACACATGCAACATGTAGTTACCTACAGACTTTACCTTTCAAAACATTTATGCAGGTTTATTTTCAGCAAAAAGTAAGAGAAAAGTTTAAGAGGAAGATTATATAAAAGATGTACCAAATTTCATTGTATACATTTTGTGTCATAAAATGGAAACAGATTGTTTAGATGAAAAATCTGAAAAACTGCTATGATTGGCAATGATGAAAGCAGCATATTAATCAGCAGTAATGGTCCTGAAGCCTTAATAGCTGCTGGAAGGAAAGATCTGCAGAGATGCTCCTCAGTGCACTAAGGGTGAACCAGTCTTTCACTTCTAACACAGCAAGTCATGGCATCTATTGTCAAAATTTGGTACAGTTTATTTCTGGCTATGCAGAAAAATAATAATCCGTTATATATCGAAATGGGTAGTAAAACAAAAAATAGTGAAATTTGTCTTCCTAATAAGTTTGGGAGGCTCCTTTCAGCCTGCTGATTGGCAGAGAGCATCAGCAGTTGGGGTAACTTGAAAGGAAATTGTATTTTTTTTTTCCTGTGCAGTTTAAACTTTTTAAAACTATGCCATTCATTTTGAGTGTCACTAAATTCAGCCTTCATTCTTAATCATGCTGAAACAGAAGACCTTGGACGACACTCGGTATTGGTTAACACAGCAACCACAAAGATTCTCAGGGAATTTCTTTTGACTTTCCATTTGAGGGATCCCTTCTTCTCCATCAGTTGCTTGTTTAATTCTCAGAATATCAAAAATGTCCCAATTCTAATCCTCTTCTCCATTTGTCTACTCAGGGTCAGGCCAAAGAGTAAAGCACATTCCTGGAGAAGTTGAGGGCTTCTGTATTAGCCGTATGACAGCCGACTAACGCCGCCGAGCCTAAAGAAATGGCCTGCAGCCCAATCTGTATTTACTGGAACGGCTGTGGACAAGGATGTGCGTTGCAATGGTGATCATTTACAAGAAAACTGTGGAAAAAAAGGGAGGCGACGATGTAGCATCAACACGTAAAGACTTGGGCACGGTAAGAGGATGTTTTCAGATTACATAAGCAGGTTTTCCTCGCTTGTGAAATTTAATTTCATGTTTATTTAACCTCGCCAAGAGATTTCAGCTGTGTTCATCAAAGGAGAGGATAAGGTGCTGCTATTAATTAAGGCCGCCTACCTCTACACTCCCATGTTTTAGTTCCACTAAAACTTAACTCTCGGGCAGGGGTTTGAGTGACACACAGGATATGACATCAGAGAAACAATGGGAATGTTTTACGATAAGTGGAGGATACTTGTGTTACAATTACAGATGATTGCATCATAAAATCTGGCAGCATACCAGGAATCCTCTGGGCATTTTTGTCAAACAGGGCTGACTAAATAACTCCGTATTTTCTTTTGCTCTGCGTCCTTACAACTTGAAGCTCTGCCAGCATTGAACGAAAATCCCCCCCGCTCACGTGGAATGAGTTGCATTCAATGAATGTATTCAATGAATGCAATATGAAATGTCGTCACCCTACAGCGGCTGAACTCATCAGAGACAATACATGCTAAAGATTTTAACTTTTATTGAACTGAATAAATTCCCATATTCATTATGTTTCTGTTGTGTTTTTAAAGAAGTGACAGAATCTATTTTTTTCTGATGTTATAACACACCTCCAGGCACAGATCATGAGCCAGGGACCGGCACTTTTTTCCTGCGGACTCATGGGTAAGCTTTTCTCATCTCATTTGATAAAAATGCAGTTGTGCACAGAAGTTTTACACGCATTGATTATGAGCATGTATGTCATGAGTTTTTGGCTTCTGAGGTCATCTCCTTTTCCTTGCTGGGATGATTACGCAACAAGCAAATCTGGGTAGTGTAATTTAGGAAGTTGCAGCTCAACCAAGCAGAGTCCTTGCATAGATGAGGGTAGTACCTGCAAGCTTTGTTTTTCTCTTTTTTTCCTTTTGTTTATCATTGATGTTTATCCTCTGAGAAGAACAAACCTGCTGCATGCCAGGACTGGGCGCTTGCTGCCATGTTTAGCTGCTGACTCACCACCTTACTTGGTTAACTTCACTCAAAACAAAAGAGAAATAACAGTTGGGAGGGTACTTTCCCCCCAGGAGCAACCCGCTCATCAGAATGTTTGATATGTATATATTGACGCCGACTCCAGCATAGTGAGCCAGCTGGACGTTGAGTTTCCTTCCTTTTTTCCAGTCAGCTGCGCACACACAGGGACACTAAAGTAGTGCCTGAGGGACGGAGCAGGGTTTATTTTTAGTACCCATAACACAAAGCTACAGAGTACTATAAAAACAGACCATGAAAACAAAAGCCGACACTCTGACTAAGCTTGAAGCAGGACTTCAACATATAGATGCGTTGGTTACTGGGATCAAGGGTTCTTAAAGGTTGTTAAAATTTGAAATATTTTACCCGAGATCCATAAACCAAATTCCCAAGAAAGTGCTTTCTTGGAAACAGTCTGCCTGTGTTGTATGGAAAAACAAAGCAGGTCTGCCGGTCAGTCTTTGAAGAAAACTTGATCTGCTTTCCTTATTTGGGCTGTTCGTAAATATTCCTGTTTATTAAAAACATAAAATCATGGAGAATAAAAATGATTAAGCTGTAGTGAAGGGTTAAATTTTTGTTGTTGTTGTTTAAAATAAGATCCGAGTAGCATTAAATCCCTTCTTTTTTTATATAAAGTGATAAATGGATGCGAGAATTATTTTCTTTTAATAAATGCATTTGAAGTGGTTCCTGTGCAGGACTTTAGTCTGTCAGGATGTCTCTCTGAAATCCAAGTGGAATATCGACTCAATGGAGTAAGAAATTCAGCCCTTAAGCCACAACTTATCAGTATTGAACAAAACAGTCAATACACGCTAGGCATGTCATCATTGATGATATAACCCTTGCGGCTCATGGGCCAAATTGTACTCCCATGTGTCAATTTTTCACCACAATTGCCTGGGATATCCTGATTGAGTAAACTTCTGCAGAATAACCACGAAATTCATTGGTAAGCAATATAAAATAAAAACTAAACAACAAAACATTTTCTTTTCTGTCCATTTGAACAGTCTGGTTCAGCAACACCCCTCATCAATCTCTGGGTAATTTAATAGTCCAAACCTCAGATAAGGGACTTTTATCTGAGAAAGTGTAGCCCCAGGAAATTTAAAATGATTCAGTTGTTAACATCATATTGGGAATTTTAAACACATGGAACAAACTTGCACTAAATATCTGTCATTTGCCTTTTTTAAAGCAGGTGTTTTTGCTTCGTTTGTTACAGAGGCGAGTCGATGGCGTGAGGTGGGGACCAGCTGTGCCTTTCAGCAGCAGCCTGTTGGGACCAGCCTGGAGAGCCTTTGGGACGTCCTGCCTGAGGTGCACAGAACTTCTAACCACTGGGGCTGGGATGTCGGCTCCACTTCAAGCACCATCTCCAACCTGCTGCAGGACCTCAGTCTGACTGAGACCTCACACTCCACAGCTCCCCCCAGCAAACGGCAGTGCCGCTCCTTGTCTTGCTCCGACGAGCTTGGGAGCTGCCGCTCCTCCATCTGGCGCCCTCAAAGCTCCCGTGTGTGGACGTCTGTAGAAAAGAGGAGATGCCACAGCGGCGGCAGCGTTCAGCGAAGCGGCGTCGGAAATTCCCAGCTCAGTTTTCCGGGTATGCAGCGCAGCTTCAGCTTCAGCCTCCCAGCCCGTTCACCCACCAAGGAATCGCCCTGCTTCTCCCAGCTTTCACCCAGGCCTTCCGCCTTCTCTGGCTTAACCCCCTCCTCTGCGCCGTCCGCCCAGCCCCTCTACCTCTCTCATGAACAGATCTGCCTCCCCGAGGCTCAAGAATCTTCACCAGCAAGTTCCCCTGACTCCACTCCCGAACTCAAGCGGCGAGGCGGGGAGGGTGGCCTCGCTCGAAGTCGCTCCCAGCCGTGTGTCTTAAACGAGAACAAGATTGGTGTGAAACGCAGGAGGCCGGCAGACAGTCACAAACAGAGACCTTCTCTGGATCTGGCAAAGATGACTCAGGTTGGTGTTTGGAAAACCGATCAACGAGTGAGGAAATATGGGAAAGGAGTTCCTGCTTTTAACCAGTTAGTCTTTTATTTTTAGGGGACAACTTCAAAGGCTGCATATCAGATGAGAGCAATGAAAACAATCTTAAAAGGAGGGGCAAAAATTTAGTAAAAAGAGGTTAACTTTGTTTTAAAAAAGAAATAGTCGAAGAGGGCATTTAGCACATCTTATTTATAAAAGTTTATCAGGTTAAATAGACATTAGGAATAAATGATTATTAGGTCACTTACTGAAACCTGAGTAGTTTATGCTGCGCTTGGGTTTTTAAGTCAAACATTCACTGGCGAGGCGCCATAACAGAATGATGGTTCCTTTGTGGGTTTTATCCTGATTTAGCAGAAGAGGGCTGTATGCCAAACATAACTTCATATTTAAAATACTACTAAAAATGTGCATTAACAGACTGCGGGTCCTCAGAGTGCAAAGCAGTAAAACAAAGTATGATAGCAATAATAGAACCTTGTGAAAAGTCTCAAGGATTTATAAATTTCTGTTTATCTCACTTTGGATGATAAAATCTGCCTGTTAAAGAGGTAATGAACATTTTTGGCATCTCTAAATAGTGATATTAAATGGTTAGTTCAGTTCTGACAGAACATTTTGAATTGAGAAAGCTTTCTGGGTGGGAAATGAAATGTCTTCAATCTTTGAAAACAAAGTCCAGTGGTTTATAACTGTTTTTGAACATTTTAGACCATAAGCAATTAGCAGTTCATCCCCACTCATTGTTTTTTGGCACACTACAAACACAGATTTCAATTTTATGTGACAAATGCTAAATAGAAAAGTTTTATTAAATGTATTTTTCCCATCCACATCAGCTTTTTCAAAATGCTTACTGTGTTTCCTACATGACAAACTGTAAAAGAGACATTATGCTTTGTCCTCAGAGATGCTTCTCCTCCATAGAGGCATGATATTGGAGACCTATTAGTTGTCCTGTTAACATATCCACCTACCTGAGCTGTGGATTTCAGGGTGCTTGTCCTTTTCTAAGGTCTGCCACATGCCTTCCACTTTCAGATGATTATTTGAGCAGAGCTCTGAGAGATGGTGGAAGCTTGGCACTATACATCCCTCCTGTTGAACAGCCCCTTAAATGGGCGAGTAGATCACCTCAAAAATTATAAATATTTACCCTTTTCTATAAAACTACATTTTACAATTATCCTATTTTAAACTCTAGGAACTGAGGGGTAGGAATATTTTTTCGAAGCCACATTTGACTAAAGTCTCTGGAGTATTTGTCAGGTGCCAACTCCACCGACACATTTTCAGATCTAAACAGGATAGTCTCCCAGGGAGATTTTGTCCAGGTCCTCCGGTCTCTGCTTGTTACACTCAGGCTGGACACTCGTTATGCTTTGCATGTGGTGAAAACAAACACCTTCAGTAAAGGTCATGGCGTTCTCCCTCGAACACACCTCGTATGAGTGTGTCTGCCAGCAATCATTCATTCATGCAGGCCTGTTCAGAGACACATTCCGATAATGTGGGTGTGTATCCGCATTCACAGGAAAAGGAATAGAAGTGTGCGGTGTTGTTTATTGCCTTGGGGAAAGACAGCTGGGTGAAAGCAGACCTCTAGAAAATGGTCTGTGTGTACCCAATCCATCACACCTGATTTGTACATCCATGCAGGCTTTAAGTCTTTCTGCCCCCACACAGTGGAGTTTCACATATGATAATAAACACTTGGGAGACGGTCATTTGGAGTTCACCAGTGTCACAGTTGTGACACAGCAGACGCCATGGGGGCTTTGAACAGAGGCGAGGTCAGTGTGGAGAAAAACAACACCAGGCCAGACGACCAGCAATATTTTCCCAGAGCTTAAAGCTGCTGATCTTCTCCACCGTTTATGTTCTGGTTTGGAAGATGTACAAAGAACAAAAGTACAAATTTTTTAGTATTTTATTAACAGAAACACAAAGAATCACTTTTCAAATTGAGAATCCTAATCCAAAACGTGTTTAGCTCACCAGGATTCATAGTCTCCTTGCTATTCAAAGAGCGCCAACAGTATTGCTGAATGTTTCTGAAGCGTACCATCATCCAGACACTTCAGTGGGGCAACTCTGACAAGGAGAATCCGATCACCTGCTACTTGCTGAATGTTATTTTTTATGAAGTTTTACTGGGTAGACAATTATAAAGTAGTACAGCTGATATTCTGGATTGTATTTATATAAAGCCCCCTTTTCTCCAAAATCCAATCCAGTTGGTTCTGTAGCTAATGCATCGGTAGATATTGTAGAGTCCAGCTGTGTGATTTGATCTCAGTATTTATCCAGGTTTTCTGCATTTTGGAGAAGCATTAGTTTAAAAACTGTTTCATGAAGGCAAAGGATCATAACAGATGGGTCTTCCAACAATTTTGGGCTTCCATAGGTCAGAGTGACTTCAGTTCATCACTTCTTGTTAGACTTCTACCCTTAACTGATAAATTAGTTAGTTGCAAACATTTCAATTGCACATGCAATAAGTGGGTGTGTTGCGAGTGATCTACAATGATTGCTGCTCAAATCTTAAGACGTATAAACCGGTTTGGTTCCGCCCATTAAAATGACCAGATTATGTGTTTTACAGGCAGCTTGAGAGTGACTGTAAAAGAAAGATGAGGTTCTAAGCCATGAAGAAGGGGGATATAATGATAAATAAGTATTATAATACTAAATAATATGTATAGATCACTTTATATATGAAGTATAACAAAAAGTTAAATAGTCATGTACCCCGATCCCCATACACACACCTACAACATATGATAAACTGTCTAATATAAGCTATTGGCAATAGCAGCAGTAGTATTATTGGTGTGAAATTGGATATAGCATGTTTTGTCACAATAAATCTGAATAAAATGCATGGAGTATGGCTACAATGCGACAGGATGCTGTAGAGCTGAGGTCAGTATTGCAGGAGCTACTGTAACTTGACTAAAACACACAGTAATAAAAGCATTTCTCAGACCATAACTCTGCTGGGTTTGAAAATGTTTTACATGCTCCTACCAATGTTGTTCTTATCCCTTCCATAGTCTTGCTCAGCCCTTTCATCGGTTCTGTCCCATGTTCAGAGCCAGAAGTCCTACTCTAGAGTCTGAAGTGCTAATGCAACTATGCAATACTTGGCCTGCTGCTGACAAATGTGTCTACATTAGCAGAGCCAAGAAAAACAGCAGTTTGCCTTTGATCTCCTGTGTCCTAAAGCAACAAACTCTAGGATAAATTCAAATTTAGTTTCTCTGGTTCTATCTAAGCCTAGTTCTTTGGGCATTAATGCAATAATATGAATCGATGTGAAAGGAGTACGAATCAAAAACACATTTGAACCTTTTGAATTAGATTCTTGATTTTCCTCTGCTTTGTAGCCCTGTGGTATTTGAAACACTAATACTTTTGTTCATATCTTGATGGACTTGGAAATCTTTAGGTCTAAAAGCAGGATTATTAGAACTCAAGATTCCGGAGGAATGGGCAAATAAAAGTAGTTTAAAAGCTGTAACCTTTAACTTTTTTTTGCTGCTTTTTAAAATCTTTTCTCTATATTTTTTGTCTGGATCACAAAATGTTTCTGTGAAGTAATGAAATGAGGAAAAGGTGTCGTTTGCGGTGTGGAATCTAAACCTTCTTTGATTAAACCTTAAAATAAAAATAAAAGGCCTCAATCTGCTTGCCAGCTACCTAAAGTAGGGACCAATCTCCTCATTACAGCTTGAGGTTCTTTGGTAGTGAATGTCGCCTGTGTCTGATTCTACATCTGTGCCTCATTGGAGATTTGGAGATTTATGGTTATTGCAGCTGCTCACCCTGCGCTTGTGTTTAAAGGGGATGGTTTCTGAAAAAATGTTAACAATTGAAGACCAACTGCTGATGGTTTTTAATACTTTGTATAGTCATATATATTCAGGTTTTCTTAGTGAACTACTTTTGACATTTTGATTGATAGATTTTAAGGATTCTCACTAATCAGCTAAAGGAGTTAATTATCTGCATCCACACTTCTTAAAACGTGGTCACAAGCTGTACCTTTAATGGTCTCTTCCCTTTTAAAGGTTACATAAGCACACGGATGAGGGATGAATTGACAGAGGCTCTATTCTCTTGTCTGCAACGCTTGCGAAGCATGAGGCAGCTGTCCCCCCTCTTCCTCATATGAGCCATACAGATTGGATAAGCCTCCGCCATAAAAGCTCGTCATTCCGGCATGTACAGCTGTTGCAAGCATGCCCACACCGGCATTGGCACATGTGTATTCCCCTGCAGAACTTTCTAGGTTGTTTTTTTTCCTAGATCTGAGTATTGTGAAGGGCCATTGATAGGCCTGAGTAATAAAAAAACAGACCCAAGCTTGGTGCCCATATCAGTTTAAATCCAAGGTGAATAATAGGCCCCGCCTCTTTTTTTTGAGTTCCATACATTAGCCATTTTGTGTCTTATTTATTCATTTAATTAGGCTTAGTTGATTGATGTCAGTTGGTAATGAAGGTAACATTAATCTTTCCATAAACATTTTTACTGGATTATTTGGCGAACTAGTTCCTGGCTGTTTTTTTTTTTGTTTCTTTTAAAAAGATTAAAGAGAACCTCTTAGATTGAGTTAAAAGCTACATACTGAAAAAAGCGAATAAGGGTAAGATTTAAAGATCTCACACATTTACAAAACTGCTTTTGGATAAAGAACATAAAAAAACTAAATATTAGACATAATAAGCAAATATTTTTCTACAACCACAGAAAATAACAATTTTTTGCTTAATTTGGATTCAATAACAACAGAGCTGGTGAATTTAGGTAATGCATCTTGAATATAATTGAACTAAAATAAACAAACAAACAAAAAAGCTTGGATCCAAAAATCCACCCCTGTGGAACTCCAGTTTTATCTTTTAAGATTTAAAGTTGAAATGATTTTTTTTGAGAGATTATCCACTTTAACCTTTAGATCTAAAACAATCAGCATAAACTCTACATCCTTTCTTAATTTGCAGTTTTATAACATGACAGAAGATTTTCTTGAGTAATCATGCCTTAAGCCAAAAGGTTCATCCTGTGGCTTATTTCTAGATAATATTTCTCTGAAGCAACCTTCTCCATGTCGTAAGACTGAAGTTGAAGGCTACAGCATCTGCTGTCGCGTATTTCATAAGCAGTACCAGGTTTTTAGGACATATTTGAAAGCATAATCTTCATTTGTGTCCCTCAAATTAGAGCTTACAGCTAAAGAAAACCCGAATTGTGTTTTCTCAAGATTTTAAAATGTTCTTTATATGAAAAGATATTTTTAGACCACTAATCAACAGTTTGTCTTTTGTTCTCACACCTGGTAGGTTTTTACCAAGGAATGCCGTGCAGTAGGCCATGTTGTGTTTGTCAGCATATTGTTGCTGTTGAGTCCAGCTGCTGTTCATGACTCATTCATTTTCCCCTTATTATTTAATAAGTGTTGCTTCAACATCCTAGCGAGGCTCAGCTATCTGTTTTACTGTCCGTTACTCCAGACCTAAAAGGATAATCCTGTGTGGAAATAAATATGGCCGACAAACATGTGTTTCTACTGGTGGGATTTTGTAAATTAAACATCGTGAGCAGATTATGAAAACTCTTTGAAGGTAATTAATAACACTGCGTGATCCAAGCAGGCGTTAAAATAAAGAAAACAGGATTTTCTACTTTTCTATGTAGTGTGGTGTTGCAGGCTTGTCTGGGCCCTACTGTACCCCCTAGAGTCTAGCAGTATATTGGCTGCAGCGGGTCAAACCTGCATTGAGCATGAATACTGAAAAAGTTATTGGCCTTATTTTTAGTCTCATTTCCATGCTGAATGTAGAACATAGCAAAAACCAAGCTTTCCTCTTCTAAGTGATGGTTTCTGTGTCTGCTGGAAAAATGTCAGCATGGTTTGCTATGATTGTGTAGACCATAATGTGGGAGACCTCTCATTGGTTTACATTTGTCCTAAACATTATCCATATTGTGTTTAATGGATCTCTTGGGTTTCACTTTCTCAATTAAATAATTAAAGTAATTGGATTGGTATTTAATGCTCTGTAATGTTGATTCACCCTTGAATTAATTAGTTTGATTTAACGCATTTCAACATTTCCTTTTGATATCTCAGGACAAATTTAATTTGATCTTTTTCAAATTAGGGCAGCAATTTTATTGTCAAGCTTTTTTTTTTTTTCTTTTTTAATGATTTGTGTTTTTTTTCTCCCTTTTCAAATCTTTATAAACAGACGCTTCAGAATTTCCACAGCCTTAGCTGCCCTGGTATCACAAGCGACGACCCACTGAAGCCAGGCCCGGCGGCCCCCTCTTTCAGGTCCAACGGTGATGACTTATCTGAAAACGAGGATGGCTTGGAGTCGTCCGATCCTGCCTGGAACTCTGATGACCACGGCGACGGCACAACGGTGGGAACGACCGGCGGAAAGGATGGCGAGACCCTCTGGGTGGGGCTGTGCAGCATGACGAGGGACATGTATCAACTCGGAGGGGAACTCGACATCGAGCAGATTGAGAGGAACTGAACTGAGCTGCTTTTTCCTCCTTTGGGGGGGAAGCTAATTACTGGACTGGAAGTTTATCACCAGGTGGTACAATAAACAGTGCTGATAGTCTTATGGACAAAGCTAGGGGAAGCTCATGCAGAGAGCATTCCAGCGCTTTAAAAAAAAAAATTCTTAAAGGAAGACTGAGCAGGAATTTTGTGCTTTAAATGTCTATGTTTGGGGACTTTGTGTGTTTAGAGGCGACTCCCCACGTGTTGTCTCAGGAGAAAACGAAAAGCAGTAAAGAGGGATCTGAGTGGAAATGATAAAATGCATAGATACCATGACATCACTCTAATCTTGAATAGCCTACTTGTGCTTTGTCTGGAGAATTCACAGCAGGTTTGTATAAATTCTCTGCACTAGAAAGAGTGTCTTTATTTTTTCCTCTGACGTTCCTCACTAGCACATAGGTACATGATGGAAACGAATGAACACCACTTAACTAGCTACTGCTGATGCGCCATTCACTCTTTATTAAGCAGTAAGTAGCAGAAAACACCTTCAAAGTAAAGATGAGCTTTATGTTTTACTGAGTAACTTCAGGCTCAGCTCTAAAATCTGAGCTCCTGAATGTCTGAGAGATGCTTTGAGATGCTAACTGTGTTCATGTTCTTTCATTATTACAATTTGTAACTACAAAGTTATGTAATACATGAAACATAATTTCTATAAAAAAAAATAAACAGGTTTAAAAGTGGAATTTTTTGTCATTTAATTTATTTAACTTTGTTTATAAGCTGTCATAGGTCTTTTTGCTCGGGTGCTTAGAAAAGTTGTGGGAAATATTCCTCTGCTTAAATATTTTTGTTATTTTGCCACAAAGCAGTCATTTTATTTGGGTTTGATCTACAAATTGCCAAACTGGGATTTGTTTTATATGCATTCAGACATTAGTTATTGCCAGATTTGAACATTCAGCTCTCAAATATTTGACCCATTCTCAGCTAAACAGCTCAAACTTGGCTGTCCGTCATCAGTCTTTCCTTTTTTTTTTTTTTTTAATGGTATTTTACGGGTTCACTTTGTCCCACACCCATCCTCTCAGTTCCTACTGAAGAAAAGCCTCCCCACGGCATGATGCTGCCACCACCAAGCTTCACCACAGGGATTGTTTGTTCAGCAATGTTGCTTAGTTTTCATCTTGAACTCATGTTAAATACTTGTGGTATTATCCCACCTAAGCTCTGCAGCTCATCCCAAGCTGATATGTTCCCCCTGGTTGCTTTTGATAACGAGGCAGTGAGTTGCACAAAATAATAGTTTTCTGTGTTTTAATCATTATTTAAAATGACAAAATTCTAACTGTATACAGTAAAAAGCATCTGAATATTGATAAAAATAAGTAATGAATAAAGCTAGTACAAAGAAATGTCAAAATGGGGCTGAGTAAAGATGAATGCTGAAGTTCTGAAAACGTGAGTTTTTATTAATTCTGTATATCATCTAAAATCCTGATCAGCATATTAAAATAAGTGGCTGTAACAGCATCACATGGAAATACTTCAGGATGAAATTTTAAATATAAATGTTTCTGTGAGCATTGTATGCTGTTTTGGGCGGATTCGTGTCTATGAATGAATTTCGTTAGCTGGCCTACTTTTCTCTGAGACGACATGAGGTTTGACATTTTGTGTGTTGGAACTGTTTTACAGTGGAAAATACTTTTTTTTTTTTTTTTTTTACTTAGTTAATTACTTTGGGAAACAAGGCTATATTTTGCTTAGATTTGCTTTCCAGGTTTCTTTTAGGTTTTTTCCCCACCTAATCCTCCTCACAACTCTAGGCAGCATGCATCTATTTAGCACTAATGCCATTGTTGGTAACCTCCTACATGTAGCCATATAGACTGCCCCAATTAAGTTGCATGAAAACAATTGCAGCAGTAAGCGTGGTGCGGCTGATGGGTCTGTGTTTGTGTGCTGAAGCGGGGAGGACGCAGAGCAGGGGAGGGAAGTCCGGTCCATTTTTTTCCAAAAAGTTTTTTCTTTTCTTTTTTTTTTTGATGCCGGGTGGAGTGGTGAAGCTGAGCGACGGTTCACCCCAAAGACCTCGATCCCTCCCCACTCTGAGAAACAAAAGGGGCTTTTTCTCTAAGGAGCGCTGTGACGTGGGAGGCAGCAGTGAATGTGGGCCATGTGTCAGGGCTGTTGCTGCTCCGTTTGTCTACTTCCCCCCCTCCCTGCCTCTGGTGCCTGTGCAGACCTCAAGAGTTTATATTGTTCACTTTTTGTCAGCTCTGTTGTGATTGCACGTCCTTTTATAGCATGCTGAAGCTGTCAGCAATGCTGGGCATTCTTTGAAAGTGTAAGGTACCTTTGAGGGAATTAAGTTGCATCATTAAAGAGCTTGTGGAGTAATTTGATTGCTCGAAATGCCTCCAGGTTCAAATGCCACACAAACCCCCACCTGTGGGTAATGTAAGTGGCCTCTAAAGCCAGTGCATACTGCTGTAATGGATGATTATATTACTCTGCTAAAATCTGTACAATTGCACAGTAAGGTCGCACCCCTTTGTCAGCTGCATGTGGTACATGCAAGCCACTTACTGGCCCTGGAAATGGGTAAACATGGGTCTTGTTAAACGTGCTGAGTGGCTGAGTGACACACTGAGGGGCCCTGGGCTTTAATCAGTGAAGTGACAGGAGTGAAAGGAGGCTCTGTTCTGGGAGAAGATAGGCATACAACAGGAGGGGTGGGCCATGCCAAGGTCCTGCACTGCATGCTCTCACAACCCCCCACAAGCTCTCACTCTGGTCAGTTTTTAACTGACATTGGGGTTATACAAAGTCTTTTCTTCTTTTTCTTTTGCTTAAATAAAAAAACATCCTAACATGCAACTTGCCTCTACTTTATCTGCCACAGATTCCCCTATCCCAAGAATATTATATTTGTTCCACATGTCAGCAAAACCCTTTGATGCAAAAGAAAACCAACAACATGCTTAAAAACTGAGTAAGCCCTGCTTTGAAAAAGAGTCTCCCTTCCTTTATAGATTAAATTTCCCTTTTTTATTTCCACACCGAACGTTTTCAGATCATCAATGTTTACGCCCATCTCTGTTAAACTCAATTGTTGAGCATGAAAAGCCTATTTTAAGTCATGCCACAGCTAACCTGATTCATTCCCAGACTTTAACTAGGCCACTCTAAACCTTAAACCATTCAGAGGTAAAATCACTGGTTTGTCCTGTACACAGGAGGGCTTTAATTTTATTTAACTAAATTTGAATCAAAAGTACATAAAGGGAAATTAAATGCTGCCATTAACTCATAGGGTATTTGTGGTTTTTTTCATCGAGTTGTTCTAGGTGTTGATAGCTGTAGACAGGAAGGATCTTCTGTAGCGGTCTGTCTGCACCAGAATTGGAGAAGCATCTGACTCTGACACTGTTTAAAAATCTTCTGCAGATAATGCTCACTGTTTTTTTCTTAATCTTCTTCACTTTATGAATGATACTTGAGCTTCATTAATCTTACACTGGAGAAATTCACTCTCTGCATTTAACCAATCCCCTTGGGGAGCAGTGGGCTGCCATTGTGCAGCACCAAGGGATTAGTGTAGGGTTAAGAGTCTTGCTCAGGGACCCAGAGTGGAGGTATTGGGGATCAAACCAGGTACTTGCAACCTTCCCAGAGCACAAGAGCACTGCTTTAACCACTATGGCCAACACTTCCCCAGTAGACCGGAAATTGTAGTTTTTTTTTTTTTTTTTTTTTTTATAGAAATAGTCTTTAGAGGTTCTATAGGAGTTCCCAGAACAGAACTGGCCTTCTTTTTTTATTTTGTTGAGTTTTTAAGTCTTTAGCTTAAATAGTATTAACCCTGCAGAGGATGGAAGAAGAGATCAAACTCTCCACAACAGACTTTTAAAAGATATGTAGGATCTTGCTGCAACCGCCAGTCTGCTCTGTCCCTTCTTCGAGATGCCTTCACAGTTGCCTCTCCACTTTGGTTTCTTGTCCAAGTGAACACCAAGGTATTTATCCTCCTCAACCACCTCCACTTCTTCTCCCATGATGTTAATAGGTTTAAACTTTTCCCAATTTCTTGTGAAATCTACAATCCTCTCCCTTGTTTTGTTGACATTCAGGATCAGATGATTGATTTCACACCATGCCACAAAGCGGTTTATGCAGAGTCATCTGAATATTTCTGCAGAGCACAGGGCTCTGAATGAAGGGCATCTTCCTTTGATTCTCTGGTAGAGCCAAATATATAGACCAACACACTACCACCATTATTGACTGTAAATATGTCATTTATTCCCCTTATTCCTGATTTAATAGGACTGACCAGAACATTTTTATTTCTATCTGGTCCAGTGATGTCTGATTTGAATTCTTAAAGGTTGCAGTCCTCATACTTTGGTTTAAAATGCTCCAGCCTAATGGACCCTTTAATGCTCCAGAATCTAAAGACATGTGGAAGTAAATCACCTGTGTTGCATTGACACGGTTAAGGGCTGGAGCAGGAGACCTCTGGTTTTTATCAAAGGAAAAAGGCAAGAGGGTTTGCTTCTCATCTATTTTTTTTTCTTTAGCTTGAAGGGATTTGTTGCTCTTTAGGCTGCTTTGTGTCTTCAAACAGGATCTGTCAAACCTGTCTTTATTGTTGTAGTAATCTTAGCTTCAGCTTTAAAAACTAAAGTCCTAAAAACTTACTGTAATCCAACAAAGGATGCAGGTAGTGAAATCAAACCCCTTAAAGTTTATTACAGTACATTTGTGTCTTAACAATGTTGGGTTGAATGGGTATGCTGCAGTTTAACTTTGGGTAATATTTGATACTGAAATTAGTTTGATGTTGTCTGACAATTAGTCATGTTTTCTAACGCGATAAAAGTTCCTACTGGAATGAAAGTTCCTGTGGAAAGTGTTTGACCGCCAACTCTTATGACCTTTAGTTGTTGACTGAATTGATTTAAGGCAACAAAAAAAAAAGGTCAAATCCAGGCCATGAAAGTTCTTGATGATAAGAAAAACCCTGTTTCCACGATGGCTGTAGGAACAAAGGTAGCAGCACCCAACAGGCTTCCTTTCTCTCAGAAAATGGAGCAAATGGAAATCCTTAGAAAAAAAGAGATCTAGTTACCCTGCAGGGGTCAGCTGTAGGCCCTCAGATGTTTTGAGTAGCAAGACAATCAGTTTACATTGCAGGATGACATACGACCACCGTTAGACCTGGATCCAACGTGCGTACGAGGTGGAGAATGGCATGATGGGGACATGCTTTGTATCTAGAGCGCAATGCTTTAGTGGGCAGATGAGAAGGGGTCATGTCCCTGAAGGGAGGAGGGGGTAGTGACGACTGTGGGCCACATTAGCAGAATACAGACTCCTCTGTGTTTGTACTGGGACACTTCTCAGATTGCTGGTAAAAGCTGTCAGGGGAGAACTGGGACAGGATTTGGAGAAAGGGAAACAGAAAAGGGAGTAAAATTCAGTCTTTGGCTCAGACCACGACTTTTTAGACTTAAAACCTTACCACACCCCCTGGAGGTGTTGGCACTGGTGGCCACCAAAAATGGAGAGTGATGAAATATAGAGGAAAGCATGAAAATCTGGCAAGCAACAGGCAGATATTCCACTCAGAAAGGAGGAGGAGGGGAGCAAACAACTGTCTGCTGTAAAAACAAGTGCAGGTTTTCCACGGATAACCAAGTGCTCAGTGCTGCAGGTGCCCCGATCCGTCTGGTCAGC